GTCTTTTCTTTCTTTTTTTTTTTTTTTTTTTTTAGCAGTACTGGGGCTTGAACTCAGGGCCTTCACCTTGAGACACTCCACCAGCCCTTTTGGTGAAGGGTTTTTCCAGATAGGGTCTTCGGAACTATTTGCCAGCCTGGCTTCCAACCATAATCCTCCTGATCTCTGCCTCCTGCGTCACTACGATTACAGGTGCCTGGCTCAAGATAGGGTCTGTGCATTCTTTGCCCAGGGGGCTTTGAACCACGATTCTCCTGATCTCTGCCTCCTGAGTAGTGATGATTACAGGCGTGAGCCCTGGTGCCCAGTGAGGTAGCCTTTTGAACCACAAAATTTATGTCACTGCCTTGCAGTGGTGCCCAGACAATGCCAAACTCCTTAGAAGGCCACTCCGTTCCTGCACATTCAGGTTCTGGGACACCCTTTATTTTTATTTAAAAAATTTTTAGCAGTAGCAGTACTGGAGTTTGAACTCAGAGCTTACTAAGTAGGTGTTCTATTACCTGACCTGCACCCCAGCCCTTTTTGCTTTAGTTTTTTGGTTTGGTTTTTTGCATTTTTGCCTGGGGCCAGCCTCGGACCAGGGTCCTCCCATATTCTACCTCCCAAGTAGCTGAGATTACAGACATGAGCCACTGTACCCCTTTAAGTGCACCCTTGTGCTGGGCACAGAACCCCTGTGCTCTAAGAACGCCTGCTGGTCCTCACCCTGTTGGTGCCCCTTCTGCTTGGAGAAGACCCCTCCCCTCATTCTTAGAGAGCTTCCCTCTGCATGCAGCTCAGTTGGTCCTTCAGGCAGATAATGTCTCCCTCATAGTATTTATGCCATGTGCTAATTGTGTGCACGTCTAGTTCCTGAACTGGGAATCCTTTAGGGCTGACTTCCTCATCCCTTTACCCGTCTCCCCCCATGCCTATCACTGTGCCAAGCCCACAGTGGAAGGGCTGAGAGAGAACGTGTTGTTAGAGTCACCCAAACCTGCAAGTTTCCGACCTTCTGTGTAATCATCTGTGCTCACCCGAGGCCCTTCTGTGTCCTTCCTTCCCTAGGCTTGCTTTTCTAAGGAAGGCCTTGAGGGCCAGCTCCATCGCCACATGGGCGTCCTCAGGGCACTGTGCCAAGAGCTCACCTGGCAGAAGGCTCAGCAGGAGGTGGGGCGAGCGTTGGCTGATTGCGAGCAGAGGATCGCTGTGCTCCTGAGAAGCGCTTCCGACGTGCACAGGATGCTGCAGTCCATGGCGGGAAAAGCACCGAAAGCCGGGTTAGTGCTTCCTGAGATTAGCCGTGCTCCCGGCTGAAACTAGCCAAGCCTTTTGCATCATTCAGACAGCCTTATTTTAATATGCAATCTTGGTTCCTTCCTAGGGGGAGTGTGCCCACAGCTGACAATGGCGGCAGGGACTCTCACAGTGACGTGCCCCCTGGGACAGCAGATAATCAGCCATCCACTGAAAAGGTGATAATGTGGATAATGTATTTCACAAGTAAACTCAGTGTAAAGGCCAAGCATGCAGTAATCCAGTGCTCGCTCATTCATTGTTGGTTTTAATCATCTGATTGTTTTCATCAACCAAGAAGTCTCACTTAGAAAGGGCAGGGAAAAGCGCCTGTCAGATGTAGGGAGCCAACGCTGTAGTGAGGATGAGGATGCAGTATCGCTGGCGATTCCACTTGCAGCCATGGTGAGGACAGGCCACCTTTGGAGGGTGGAGGAGGCTGAGCATGGTCCACGCCAATGTCCCCTTCCACTGAGATGAGCTAGCTCACTTGTCACTGGTCTCATCATTATAAGGTATTTTGTTTCTATGGGAATTGAATACTCTAAATTGGTATTTACTATCTACCAGCGCCCAAACTTCTGAACAGAACATGTGGAAAAGAAATAAAATACTTTTTTTTTTTTTTAAGAAGTCTACTCTTGCGCAGTAGGCCTCTGTCCACTTTTGACTCTGGCCATGAAGTCTTACATAGAAACAGCATTTAGAGGCCGGCAACTTTCCTTTTCCAATGGAAAGGTGACACTCAGCCTAATAAATCTGTTCTGTCCTATGGGAGGCTTCTCTCTAAACTGAGAAAGCTCAAAGAAGTTATAACATCTCCTGGTTTGTGATATAAAGAATCAAAGATGTATCTTTGAGCATCAAGCATGTAGCTTTTTTAGACATTTAAGTATGTTTGGGATATGTTTACTATTTTGCATATTTGTTTAGGCTGTGGAACCCATTAAGAATTCTAGCGTGACATCAGAGTTAAAGACTCAAGAAGAAGAAAGTGTTACCGAGAATCATGAGAGAGGTCACAGTACATCTACAAGTAGCTTACAAGAGAGGTAAACATTTTTAAGCCACTGGGAAAGCCACCGAATAATCTTTCATCAATGACAGCATGCTGCACTTTAAAAACGGTTTTATTATCCATTAGTCATAATTTTTGCATGCAGCCCTATAACTTAAGCAGAAATTCCTCTTCCGGAGTTGACAGTAATTTAAAAATATTTTTGTCCTTTTTTTATTGTTTATTCATTTATTCATATGTGTATACATTGTTTGGGCCATCTCTCCCCCTGCCCCCGCCCCCCACCCCTTCTCCCTCCCTCCCTTGTCTTATTTTTGAAAGTAAGGAATGTTGCATTTAATTCTTTCTCAGCTATGATACACAAAAAGAGATTCTTGAGGTACATCTACAAAACACCAAGTTCAGGATTACTTCTGATTTCTCCACTGACAAAGAAAGGAGCAGTGCTTGTCTGCAGGAGAAACTGACAGAGCTCCAGGTAATTACCAGAGATGTTATTTCTCTCGTTGCCTCTTTAGTTAGCGAATAATACTGTGTGTACGATGTCATTGTTTTTGGGGAGGCCACATGTGTAAGGTGTTTCCAAGGCCTCTCTTTGTCAGATTGCATTTCTAATGTCCCCTGTTCTAGAAAGTGATTTGTTTTCAAGTGCCAAACCTAGGAAAGACTTTGGTTGTGGGTCCTAGTTTATTGCTTATGCTCTGATCTATTACTTCAGAGTTTTTGATTGTGTGTGGGGCTTCCAATGAGCTGGTCAAGAACAATGTATTTGAAGGCATTTCAGCCTGTTCTTTTATTGCTCCAAAAGTAACGAACTAGTGTTCCACACGCCTGTAATCCTGCTACTGGGGAGGCTGAGGCAGGAGGAGCTGGAGTTCAAGGTCAGCCTGGGCTACATAGCCATACAATAGCTCAAAGACAAAAAAAGTTAATAAACTGGTGACTATAAGTATTTGTCTCAGTTGCTGGTCATCTTGATGAAATGGTCACATTGTCTAAAATTGCTGTAACGTGTACCAATTGTTGACTGTCTGCTGTTGAGCAACGCCACTGGGCAGTGAAGGGAGTTTTCACTTGCAGTGATGAAACATCTTCCTTGAAAGGCTTAGGAGAAAGCATTGCGCTTGACTTGGGTGCTGTAGAGCAAACAGTCTTCCTGGTGGTGGGCACGCACATACCGCTCTACCAGTAAACCTCTCCATTAGCTGTCCAGTGCTGTCCAGCATCCGTGTTGCACGCTTTGCCTGCATTAGGGAGTCCTCCCAGGTGGGGGCCATTGATCAGGTGACAAAAGGCCCTTGGTAGGTCTTACAGTATCCTCCCACCTTCTGTAGTTTCTCTCATTAGCCAGCTCTCAGTCACACTCTGCCATCTGGCGCCTGTCTGTTTTTCATCTGAGTGAACCACATGTATCTGTTTAAACCCCTGATGTTCAAGTGGTGGATTTAGCCTGTTTCCATCACAATTAAGAAGCTGTCTTGAGACCTTTCTCCAGTGACTGAATAATGAGTTGATTAGAAGAGCTGTATTAATCTTTGGGGGAAATGAAGAACACATTATTCTGTTGATCCCTCAGTAGGATTCTTAAACAGTATCTTAAAAAAAAAAAGATAAGGAACTAGCATAGTATAGAATTGTCAGTGTTGATTAATAAACCATGAATTAATTTCATTCACTTCTTATGTACATAGAAACAGTTTTGGTTCACTCCAATTTTCTTTTAGTTTAGGAGGTCACAAAGATTTACCAGCCAGAGAAATAGAACATCCATTCTTACATCTAATTGTATTTTGCATATGTATCCTGGAGGAAGCAAATAGATAGCTTTGAAAGCCATATTGTCACCTCCCTTAATTTCATTGAATAAGTCTTCTGAGAGCCCAGCTAACGTTACTGTTCCCTAGAGAATAGTTCCCGAGTAGATGGTTAGAAAATATTTTCAAACTCATTTTCATATGGAACATTGAGTTTGTTCCCTGTAGTTGTCGGTCGTCTCATTTTATAACCCATTAGTTGATAAATTAACTTATATGCTTCCTCTAGGTCTTAAAAGATGAAACCGATGCTTACTGGAAAGAGTTTGAAATCACCTCACTGAGGTTAGAGAATCTAGCAAGTGACACAGAGAAGCCTGCAATAGTGAAGGCGAGGGACAGACTAAAGGGAGAAGAAAGTGAGCTCCAGAAGCCTCTTACTACCAGGTATGGTTCTGAGATCTACGAATTGTGAATTTAATGAATCTGGAGACATTTTACAAGTCATTTTAATGCTATTACTGTACTAAGTGTGTCGTTTTATTTAGTTGTCACAGTCAGAAGAGAGGTTAACATTATTGTCAGTCAGCTTTCTGTCTTTGTGACAATACCTGAGATTAATCAACTTACTGAGGGTATGGTTTATTTTGGCTCATAGTTTCAGAGCTTGGCTTGGCCTTGTCATTTTGGGGCTGTGGTGGCACAGTATGTCTTGGTGGGAGTGTAAAGCAGAAGAGGCCTGTTTACTTACTGGTGGCTGGGAAGCAAATAGGAAGACAGAAAGGGGTTGTGGCTGCCATGTCCCTTCTAGAGCACACACCAGTGACCTAACTTCCTTCCAGCAGGCCCTACCTGCTAAAGGTTCCACCACCTTCTAATGACACCACACTGAGGACCAGGCAGTTAACACCTGGGTCTTTCCAGAACCAAAGTGTAGTCGTTGTACTCAGATTGAATAACGTAACCAAGCCACAGAGCTAATCAGAGAGTGAAGTGGGACTTAGGGTGTCTCCAGTTCCAAAGATCGTGTTTTCCCACTGTCTCTCTTTGGTTATTAATTTGCCTAGGTTGCATGATCTCTCAAGGAATTGACTTCTTCACTTCTTCTTGTCTTTTATCTTCTTTTTCTCTTTTCCTTTTTGTTTGTTTGCATAGTGGAGATTGAACTCAGGACCCTATGTTTGCCAGGCAAGCACTCTACCACTTGAGCGATACCCCCCAGTCTGAATTCTTCATTTTACAAACTACACTTGCCATCCCATAAAGAACCTGAGGACAGGGCATGTGTCCCCAGTATACATACCTGCTTCACAAAGGAGGCAGCTGAGGCTGAGCGTCCATGTGTTACTTCTCCACTGTCACAGGTGTCAGCTGTTATCAGTAGAGCCCACTCGAGTCACATTTATTTCCATATTTGTAATATGTGGTGACATTTATAGTGTGGAAATGTAACAGTTATTCTACATTATAATAAAATAGTTATGAGAGACTTTAGTCAGCAAGTCAAAGTTAAAATTATATTCAGTATAATTTTATTTCTAAAGAGAAGGAACTGTTCAGTACGCTTTACAGTTTTCCATTCTGTGTGGCATCTGTTAAACTATTTAGAATACTTAGATTTTGGGACACTTTCGAGAGTGAAAGAAAAATTACCAATCATTATTGATCATCAAAACAGCAGAAATGAGCTGGAATTGTCTTGGCTCAATGGGACGCATAGTCCATCTATGTCTAGTGTCTCTTAATAAATGTTTGTTGAATGAATCAATCAAAGGATGAATGGGTGGGGAAAAATCCTTGGATATTGCAAACTGCTCATTTTTTTGCCATTTTATTTTTAAAGTTTTAATTATTTGCTCAGTTTTACTTTTGGGAATCGAGCTCAAGGCCTCATGCTTGCTGGGCAAGCTCTATACCACTGAGCTATATCCTTACCCAATCCTGTGGCATTTTATTTTATTTTATATATATTTTTTTCCTGTGGCATTTTAGACCAGTGGGTTTGGATTTTGAATGTGATGATTTGTACCTATCATTGTATACATTTTTATTGGGTAACAATTTCCTGTTCTTGGTGAAATGATGGTGTTAATGTTCGTACAGGGTACCCTTCTGCTGTTTTCCCTTCATGTCTGGTTTATTTCTCACTCAGAATTGAGTCTTTAGAGCTGGCACTGCAGGTCGTGCTACCCATAGAGAAGGAGACTGTCCTTGTGTGTGGCTCGGACCTGCCCCTCTGTGCAGTGGCTGTCCAGGAATTTCGACTTACTAATGCTGGTGGGATTTATCAAAACCTGGGGGTGAGTAATTTCTTGGTGTGTTTATAGAATTATCCATTTTTCAGATACTTACATTGCTTATGGATTCTGAATTGTTTAGCATAGTATGTGCAGGTCATGACAGAAAAATCAACTATTTAGGCTTGTTATTCATTTCTCAACTCTCCAGTCCCTTGCAAGTTTGGAAGGAAGTCCCCAGCAGTAAATAATAGAATATTTTCTTTGCATTTGAAGCGAAGTCTTTAATGAATGCCTTTTTCAGTGACTAAAATCCCAAACATCAACCTAGACTCATAGGCTTGGATTGGCTATCCTGCAGTTTACTTATCCCGATCCTGTCCTCAATCAAAACAATTTCAGATTGTGAATAAACCTCTCCACTCCTCAGCTCTAATTATTTGCTTTGAGGCGGTAGCTTTCTACTTGTTTCCTTTGGGGGATTGAAACATAGGCAGGATATCAGATAATGAAACAGCTGGGCCCTCTGATCATTCATAATTGAGATGTTTCCTTATGTCAGCTTTGGTTAAACTCTGGTGCATTTTTCTCCATCAGATTCAGCAATGTGGGGATCAGTTTCTGTCATGTGATTTATTTTTGCTGTCTCAGTCCTTTTGGCTTTTACATTTTTTATTTTAGGCTCTCCAAGATTCCATAGCAAAACAGATCACCCTATGTACCAACTTCGAGGAGCCAGGCAGCTTGGGATTAAAGGGATTGCACCCATTTGATCTACACGCAACACAGGATATTCTACTGAAATGCAAAACACAGCTTGAAATGGTGAGCTGCAGGGCCCGGATGCAAGACGAGGCCCTGCGGGCTCTTGAAGGCTTTCTGGCCTCTCTAAGGACAGCTGAACAATCCGAGGGGCTCGGTACCGACCTCCCCACCTCAGGGGCCCAGGTGGCACCAGAAAATACTAACTCAGCAAAAGATGTTCAAGGAGAAATTCACCTGATGAAGGACAGGGCCAGACATTTGGACAAACACTTGCAGAAGCTGGACATCAGCCTTGAAGATGCTGAACAAGGGGAGGTCACCTCCTGTGAGAAACTTCTTGAAACCTTGTCAGCAAGGTTATTAGAGACACATGGCCACAGAGGACAGGAGGAAGACACTGGAGAAAGCAAATTATTAGAGGCCTGTACTTCCAAAAATAATGAGCTATTTAAAAATATTCAAGATGTGCAGAATCAGATCAGTAAAATTGGCCTAAAGGATGCTACTGCTCCAGCTGTGAAACAGCGGTGAGGACAGCGTTTCCAGGGTCTCATCCCATGTGACACTTTGCTGCAGCTTCAGATATCTATTATGCAAAACAAATACTTCTGTTTCTTTCTTTCTTTTCTTTTTTTTTGTTTTTTTTTTTGGCAGTACTAGGGGTTGAATTTAGGGCCTTGCTAGGCAATCACTCTACCACTTGAGCCATGCCCCCATTCTTTTTGCTTTTTTAGTTTGTTCTCCAGAAAGCATCTTAACCCTTTTGCCTGGGCTGACCCTAGATTGTGATCCGCCTACTACTGCCTCCTGAGGAACTGGGATTATAGGAATGTGCCACCACACCTGGCTTTGTGCTGCTGTTTTAATTCAGGCATTCGGAGTTTATCCTCCAGGTCCTAAAAGCTAAAGTGTTATCAAGAGTTGCTGTTGTGGAACTTTCCTCTTCTTTCTAAATCTCTCCCACTCTCTGTCCCTCTTGCAGTTCTCCAGGCTCAGTGGCCTTTGGGCAACTGTAGTTGACCAGGTCCCTCAGTGTAGCTGAGTGTGCCTTTCCTCTGAAACCTTCCTGCCCTCAGGCCCAGTGAGATTCATTCTTGGAATGCCCCGGGTGGTAATGACTTTTTGAACTAATTCTTGCTATAGTTATTACTTTAATAATTTTTAGTTACAGATTTATAAACAATAAGTAATATATGTTAATGCACAAATGAATATACCATGTTTATAAATAATAAATTATTATATAATAATAATAAATACAATATTTCTTGTTTTAACAGTGCCAGGCACTGTTTTAGGTATTGGGGATCTAAAAGTTAACAAAACAGACAAAAATTCTTGCCTTTTGTACAGTATATTATTTATAGGGAGAAGTAAGATATTTAGTGTCTGGTGGTGATAAACCTGTGGAGAAAATCTAAGTAGAGAAGACCACAATCCGATTGGGTTATTGGGGGAACTTTCTTGAGGAAGTGACCTTTGAGTCAAATGAGAGGTGTAAGAGCAAGCTTCGTGGCTACTGGAGCAAGAGCCCCATAGGCCGAGGGAGCATTGCTAGTGGAGAGATGGGGAGGTGAGAAGGTGCAGCAGTAAGAGGAAAGGGATCAGATGTCCTGGTGGGATGGGACCTGTAAGCCAGGGGATACCTTTCACTTTTTCTTTGAGTGACATGGAATGTCATTGGAGGGCTCTGAGCAAAAGGGAACGACTTGGTTTAATTGGGAACTGGTTTGGTTCATGCTGGCTGACACGTTGAGAATAGACTGCAGGCGTCAAGGAGACACAAGCCAGGTAAGGGGTGATGGTAGTGGCTGGACCGATGGTGAGGTAGAAAAGAGTTAAGATTCTGTATGTATTTTGAAGACAGAGTCTACACACTGGACTTGGTGTATGAAAGAAAGATTGAGTCAAGATGATTCCCAGGTTTGACCTGAGTTCTCATGAATAGATGGGGACGTCTGATGTTTATCAGGTAGAGAATGAAGGATCAGTGTGCTCAGTTTTAGAAACAGGTTTGAGGTACTTATTTGACATTCCAGTAGTGAGCTCAATATGACTTAAAAATAGATGACATCAGGAGTGAGGTCTGGGTGAGAGATGGACATCTGAGAAAATGCTGGTTAAAGCTTTAAGACTGGACAAGACTGCTGAGGGGATGAGTTTAGACAGATAAAAGAAGAGGTCCAAGTTGTGGCACTCCATGTTGGGAGATCAGGGGAATGAGGAGGAACCAGCTGAAGACAGAAGGGGCAGCCAGGTAGTGGGAGGAAATCAAGAGTCCTGGGAGCCAAGAAAGAAGACATTTCCTTGAGGAGGAGGTGACCAGCGGAAGCTGAAGTGTGAGAATGGAGGGGAGGTTGCTGGAGATCTTGACTGCTGTGGGAATGAAAGCTTGTGGAGTGAATTCCAGGGTGGATTGGAGGACAGGAAGCAGAGGCAGTGGAACAAAACAATTTAGCTTCAGGTGAATGGAGGTAATCCTGCTAGGATTGGTTTACAAGGTAAAACCATTAGACAAATTGCTCCTTTTTTGATGTGGGCAAGGTTTTTGTACATAGGGAAGAGCTCAAGTTTTCTTTTTCTCTTTCCATACTCTGTGGCGAGCCCCACCCTTACATAGGAGCCCCCAAGGTTTGGTCGTCCACCTGTTTTCTACTCCACATAACATGCTCTCTTCCCACACACATGCTCTCTCTTTCTCATATGCCTTGACACACCTTTAATAAATGTGCTCATCACAGAAAATGTTACCACTTATGTTTTCCATATTTCTTTACCGTATTTCTTTAAACTAGGATTCTGGGAGTGCAGTCTCCCAAAATCCACAATCAGAAGGTATCATTTTGGCATTACCCTCATGAGGGCAAATCAAAGTTGGGGTGCACCCCTTTCAGCTATATTTGTGAAGAGTCAGATTGCTTGACAATTTGCCAATAATCCTTTTTCATCCACCCTCAAGGAAAAAGTCATTACTCAGACTAGAGAAAGATCTAGAAGAATATGAGGAAGAGAAGAACCACTTACAAGAAATGGCCAGTTCTTTACCACAATTCAAAGATGGCCGAGAAAAAACCCTGAACCAACAGTGCCAAGATACAGTGGTCTTGTGGGAGACAGTGAAAGCTTCTGTCACCGAATGGTGAGGGAAAAGAAACACTTCAGAACTGGGAAAATTGTCTATATCATCAGTATTTTGCAATGTTTATGATAAAAACACTGTGTGACCTGAGGGTCACACTGAGGTCACAGGGTCAATTTTGGCAACTCAAGACAGCACCCTCCTCCATGGACAGGGAGACGTGGATCTTTGTCCTTGAGTAAACTGTGTGACTGGTGTGCTGTGGGAAGTCCCTGCATGCCTGAATCTCCCTAGTGGCTTCCCTTAACTCTGGGCTCTCAGGGTCCTTTCTCCAACTCTCTTCAGGATCCTCTCTGGTACACTTCCCGTGTCCCTTTGGTATCTGTGAGTACAGAGGTCAACACGCAAGACGCCTGACTGTGGCGTTTGATCTAGTTTAATTTTACAGAGGAAAGACTTGAGGTCTGGCTTGTTTTTTTTTTTTAAATACACTCTTGCTAACTTTTTTTACCCAGGCTGGCCCCAAACTTCTTCAAAATCATCAAACTAACTAGTGCCCAGCTGTACAAGAAACTAGGGCGCTAGCTACCACATTTTCATTGACTATTTTCTTTTCCAAAAAGGGCCAAATTGAGAATAAGTACAGTAGACATTCTCATAGAGGCTGCCAGAGGAGCACTGGCTTATTCCTTTGAGACGGTGTCACTATGTAGCTTGGGTTGGCCTCAAACTCTCGATCTTCCTGCCTCCACCTCCCAAGTGCTAGGATTTTGGTATGCACTACCCTGCCCAGCCACACTGTTTTCCAAGATGCCTTTTGATTAATGATGAAATTGGGAGGCTGATTTTGTAGAGTTATGAATTCTGTATTTCTCTCTAGAACTTACATTTCTTAACTTTTTATAAACTTTTTTTTTGGCACTACTGGAATTCAAACTCAGGGTCTCACACTTGCTAGGCAGGCGCCCTACCACTTGGGCCATGTTCCCAGCCCCTACATCTGTTAACTTTTTAATACTGATCTGTTAACAATACTAATCCAGCAGTTAGTTATACCATCTGTTTGCCAGATAAATATACATGTCATCATTCTTAGGTTATTTTGGTAAAATAATATCATAAACCTTGAAAGGAAAAGTCTTTTGATGACTTATTTGTCATTATTGTGGCACATGTACAAAAAGAAAGAATGGTTTTTGCTATTTTCAGGCAGTTACCTATTTCATATTTTTTTCCCTTCATAGTCTTGAACAGTGTGGAAGAGTTTTGGAGCTCCTAAGACAATACCAGAATTTTAAAGGTGTCTTGACCACTTTGATTCAAAAAGAAGAGAATGTCTTCTCCACGCAGGCTTCATACATGGGGAAGGAGAACCTGAAGAAAAGGATAGCAGAGGTGAGTCCTTGTCTGAAGGGACACTTCCGCAGGTGACCTCATCACCAACCTGACAGTCGGGAGGGTATTATAACCAAAATCATCCTTAAACTTGGCGTGAAAGAACTTACTAGTGACTCTCTTTGACCAGATCTCTAGAATTTACTGACTTTATCACCAAAACTTGAGAAAAGTCAGGCCCCAAGTTGGTACTGGGTAATTTCTGGTTTTTGTTTTTTTGGTAGGACTGGATTTTTTAAATTATTATTATCATACTATTGTTATACTAAAGGTACATTGAGACATTTATAAAAGTTCTTACAATTTATCATAGTTGAATTCACCCTATTGGGTTTTTTTACCTCATGACTTTGCACTTGCAAAGCAGACACTCTACCACTTGAGCCACACCGCCAGTCCATTTTACTCTGGTTATTTTGGAGGTAAGGTCTCACGAACTGTTTGTCTAGACTGACCTCAAACCGTGATCCTCCTGGCCTTAGCCTCCCAAGTAGCCGGGATTACAGGTGTGAGGCACTAAGTACCTGGCTTCTGTTTGGTTTTGATAGTGGGTCATTGGCTCTGCTAGGACCTGCCATTGCCCTCTGCTGTCACTCCTGTTAGGCTGTCTGTCTCACAGGAACCTAAGACTTCCCTGCAGGCTTTAGGGATGAAGATGCTAGGAAAACCCATTGCAGACAAGCACAAGGACTTGTTGTACTTGTTTTCTGTACAGATGTGAGAGCTTCATCCTCAAGTTGGTTCATCTGTGAACACAGCTTCTCCAATCACTTCCTAAGCTAAGAAAAATAATAATTTTGGACACTAGATGTCCTTGTTTTCTATGATTTTTTTGTACTGTAGTCAGCTACTAGAGTGCATGAAAGAGTGAGAAACTAGTGCTCCACGCTGCACTGTCTGCTCCTTCATCAGAAAGGTGCTTTTCCTGTAGGTTCGGAGCGTTAAGCTAAAGTGTCGTCAGGGTATCACAAGTGTGTGACATACCCAGATGGTAGAAAACTATTTTATTGAGCTTCCTAGATACTGAGAGCAACTCAGTGGACGTGTAAATAGAACTCAAGGCCTTGCACTTGCAAGGCAGGCGCTCTACCACTTGAGCCATGTTTCCAGCCTTTTTTTCTTTAGGATATTTTTCAAGTAGATTCTTACACTTTTGCCTGGGGCTGGCCTGGGTTCGTGATTCTCTTGCCTCCCCCTCCTACATAGCTGGGATTACTAATATGTGTCACCAGATCTGGCTTGTTTTTTTTTTTTAAATACACTCTTGCTAACTTTTTTTACCCAGGCTGGCCCCAAACTATGATCCTCCCATCTTTAACTCCCACATTTCTGGGATTATAGGTGTGCACTACCATGTCTGGTCAGGACTTAACATCTTAATGAATGTCAGTCATTTCGTCCCACCCTGTGAGTGGCCGATTTGCAACCCTTCTCAGTACTTAAACACTATTCAGGACCTCATAACTGCATAGCCCTATAACTGTAAGCTGTGCTTTCTGGATGTCATTGTTCTGACTAATAAAACTTCTTATCACCTGCAGGCAGGCAGCCCTGTTGTGGTTGAATCTCCCTAGTGCCAGTCTCCGTCCTGCTCTTGGCTCTTCTGCCTTCATTAGTTCCTCTGTGTCTGTCATAACAGAAGCCCACCTCTGTCCTCAGCTGTGTCCCCAGCTTCTCTGGAACGTCGATCCCCATCTTCTACCGGGGGTAGGCGGAAGGGGACCTGTGAATGTGAAGTGCTTCCCTTCAAAGTGCCATTCTGTCTTCCCATTGGTGCCACTCTGTGCCTGCCTTCAAGAGCACCTTGCGGTAATTTCTAACCTTTGCTGAGGTTCGGTGGCACAAATGCACTGACTTCTTCCCGGCTTCGCCCCTTTGCCTTCTTGCCAACCTCTTGCCCACCCCTGCTTTCTTGGCCAATCTCGTCAGTCCTCACTCTTTCTCTGCTGGCTAGCTTTCCAACTTCCCTCCCTCCCCTGACAGCATTTCATCACCCATGTTCTCTGGACTCATGGTTTTCTATCATCTTAATGCTTTTCTGTCGTTATTATAAAGGCGGGAAGAAAGCAGACAAATGAGTTCTGTATATTGTCCCCAGGTTGTAAGTCTGTAACTCTTGCAGCTGAGCTCCTTAATGTTACAAAAGGCCTTGTTTTTTTTAAGTAAATAGTTTAGACAGAAACCCAACTTCATGGTTTTAGAATATAGAATAAATATGGATTTAACCAAAAGCTATGGACAGTGGCTAATCATGTCTGTCATCCTAGCTACTTAGAAGGCTGAGATCAGGAAGATTGCAGTTCGAGACCAGCCCTGGTAAATAGTTCACTAGACCCCCATCTCCAAAATAATCAGAGCAAAATGGACTGGAGGTGTGGCTCAAATAGAGCATCTGCTTTGCAAGTGAGAATCCCTTAGTTCAAACCCCAGTCCACCAAGACAAAACAAAAAGCTATGGACACTGACATTAAATATTTGCTGACCTTTTTATGATCTTTATTTTGAGCAAAAGTAATGGCTTACTGTATTCTTTGCTACTTGTGACAAGAGTTTCCTATATTTCCTCCCCACCCTCCCTCTTTCTTTGCCGGGGGTGGCTAGTGATTAAGTCCAGGCCCAGGGCATTCTGCATGGTAAGCATGTGCTTAACCACTGGGATACCTGCCTCCAGCCCCTGTAGTTCCTTATTAAATAACATGGAGACTGTAGCTTCTCATGTCAACTTTAATTTAACCATGGATAGATCAAAGAATGCAGGCTTCTCGTAAATTATCCTCACGTCTAGCATTCATATTTCTGTATTTATGATATTCAAAGGTAATAGTTCACTTAAGTGTGCCTCATATACAAAAATCACTATGATAATAAAATTTTAACCATTTTACCTAGTGCTATACAGTAGCAAATATTTTCAGCCAATATGATAACACAAGGTTTGCAATTCTATGCAGAGAACTCATGGAAACTAGTGCTCTTTCTTTTTTGGTAATGCCGATTGAACTCAGGGCCACACACTTACTAGTCAAGCCCTATACCACTTGAGCCACCCACTCAGTATCTATAAATTGAGAATTATCAATTAAAAACCACCATAAAGAGAGATATACTTCAACCTCACCAGTAATCAAAGGCCACCAAAACTCCTTGGTAGTGTCTGTTTTTGCCTTTCCTATTACTCCAGCTTTTGATGGTCAACAAACTGATCCCTCTTGACACAACCAGTGAGAACATGTCATACTGCCCTTTCCGAAAATGCTTTGATAGTATTATTCAAGACTTTGAAAATCTTTCTGTCATTCAATCAAATACTTCATTTCTAGGAATTGATCTTAAAGATCTAACCTTAAATATGGAAAACCCTTGATACCAAAGATGTTCACTGCAGTACTTTACAAATTTGCTGGTTTTCTTTTCCTCACTGTTCTAACTAACCCACCGCCTCCTCTCCACTAAATGACTGGCTTCAGAAGCCAAAAAATTCTGAAGCCATAAAACTTGAATCCAACTAGGCTTATCATGTGGGTTTGAGGTTTCAAGTAATTACTACCGCTCCAAAAATGATGATGATAACCTTTGTGTTGCTGGCTCGGTTATTGTGTGCTGGATTCTTCAGCCTATGTGAATAGGAGAGAAAAGAGAGTTATACAGTTTTGGTCCTCAGGAGCTGTTACTCTTCTTACCTGTGGAACAGTAAGGAAGCAAGGGAAGCAGAAGAGAGAACTTTAACTATCCATTGAATTTTTTATGAACGCTGATGCTGCTTACTCTTAAATATGGTCCAATTTCTATTTTGGGATTTGGACAAATATATTTCAGCTTCTTTTAGAAGAAGAAAAATAGTGAGGATAAGAGTTTAGGAATGAATGTCCTCAAGGTTATATGAGTAATAACAGACAGAATCTTGGTATAACTCAGGAAGATTTGATTATAATGTCACATTTCAAGCACTGTGTGGAGCCACCTGCTTTGAAAGTATGTTTGAAATACATGTGTAGCAAAAGGAAAAGTTGGTTAACTTTACTTTGCCCGAACTTTTATTATTCTTGTTGTTGTTGTACTGGGGGTACATTGTGACATTTACCAAAGTTCTTACAATATATCATAGTTGAATTCATCCCCTCCATCATTCTCCTCCCTTCTCCTTCCCATTCCTGGAATAGCTTCAACAGGTTTCAGTTTTCCATTTTCATACATGAGTACACAGTATTTCCACCATATTCACCCCCTACACCCTGTCTTTATGTCATCTCCCCTCCCACTAGTACCAACCCCCAGACAAGATCTGTTTTGCCTTCCTGTTCTCTGTTTTTGTTTTTTTAATATGGAACTCTTCACGAATTTGCGTGTCATCCTTGCTAATCTTCTCTGTATCGTTCCAATTTTAGTATATGTGCTGCCAAAGCGAGCACCTGATCTCCATTTTTGAAAAAAGGCATTTTTGTTTGTTGATAGCTATACAGGGAGTTTCCTTGTAACATTTCCATAAATATATGTATTATAGCCCGAATTGGTTCTTCCCCTTTATTTTTCTCTTTTCTACCTTAGTCCTTTTATTATAACTTCAACAGGTTTAAAAATTTGTATTCATTCTTGTAGAACAAGTACATCAACCATATTCACCTTCTTAGCTTCCTGCTTTTACCCTACCTCTTCTGTCAGTGGCCTCCCCTTAGCATGACCTGATTCTCATAAGATTGCTGTATTAGTATTGTAGCCTGGACTCTTTACTCAGCTGTAAAGGCTTTGGCGCAAGAGGTGTTTTAAAATTAATAAGAATTGGGGTAGAGTTTAGCAGTCGAGCATTTGCTCAGCATGTGTGAGGTCTGGACTCAATTCCCAGCACTGCGAAAATAAAATTAGTAAAGTAATTAATTAATTAAGTAACCTGTAAGAAATACGTAAAGTTCAGGATTGTCTTATTTTACTGAGAATCTACTATAGTGCCCTACATATGGACACCTTGTGTATTTGCTGAAATAATGCATTTACATGAAAGATACAGAAGTTAATTCACTTGTACTTAATTCTTCTCTCAGATTTTGTTTCAACTGTCTTTAAAAGGAAATTTTAGTACTGATTATTACAGTAACTTTCAGGTCATTTGGTGATGACTGCAGAAACAGTCAAATCCTTCTCTTCATGATGCCGTGGCCAGTGCTAGCTACATGGTACAACTGAGAACTTTTGTCCTTCACAACCATAGAAACCTGGCTGTTTATCTACGATGTGGTGCTAGATTTCCACTCCCTTTAATAAAAACCAAGTGTAAAAGAGAGACCAGAGGGCTGGACTGTCAGAACACGATTAACATTTGGGGACTGTCTGAGAGGGCCTGATTCCCTTTACTTTACGCATTCCGTTCACCGTCGTACAAACCGTTAATGCTGAAAGTACCTCTGCCCTTTCCTCTTCCCCCAGGGGCAGCATGCACCGCGTAACCAGAAAGTTCTTTGTATATAGAAATGCTATATTTATTACATCTGCGTGTGTTTCATGTATATAAAAAGTTTCATAATAAGTATATTATGTACAATATATGATATGCCGTGTATATTATGTATGCAAACTTTTTTTGCAGTACTCCAGGCTTTGCATGTACAAAGCAGGTGCTCTACCACTTGAGTCACCATATCTAGTCCAAGTTTTGTTTTGTTTTGTTTTGTTTTGTTGGTGGTACTGGAGTTTGAACTGAGGGCTTCATGCTTGCAAGGCATGCGCTCTGTCACTTGTGCCATATGCCCAGCCCAGAGTGCCAGACCAAGAGAAGGAAGACCTGGGTTTGGTCTCAGCCCTGTCAGTGAGCATCCAGTCAGAAGACAGAAACCTCTTTAGTTATTGTTTTTCCATTTTAAAGATTTTACGTAATTTCTTTCTTCCTCCCTCCCTCCCTTTCTTTTTCTTTTTCTTTTCTTCTTTTTTTTTTGTGGCAGGTTCTTTCTAGGCAGCCCAGCCTGGCCTGGAATTCTCTATATAGCTCAGGCCAGCTGTGAGCTTGTGATCCTCCTGCTTCAGCCACCTTGAGCCACTCCACCAGCCCCTTTTTTTGTGTGTTGGGAATTTTTGAGATAGGGTCTCGCTTCTCCCCCTGCCCCACCCCATCCCCAGGCTGGCCTCGAACCTCAGTATCGAACTTCCTGATCTCAGTGTGAGCCATCAGTGCCTGGCTGTGTTTTTCTTTTACAGTTAGCTGCACATCACACATACTCTTTGCAAATTGCATTTTCACTTATAAAAGGGATTCAGGTTTTTTTGTTTTTTGTTTTTTGTTTGAACTCAGTGCCTACTCCTTGAGCCACTCCACCAGCCCTTTTTGTAAAGGGTTTTTTCAAGATAGGGTCTCACAAACTATTTGCCTGGGCTGGCTTTGAACCATGATCATCTTGATCTCTGCCCCCTGAGTAGCTAGGATTACAGGTGTGTGTCACCAACGCCCAGCTCTTCTTTGTGTTTTTGAGACAGGTTCTCAATATGTAGCTTAGGCTGGTCTTATACTTGTGATCCTCCTGCCTCTGCCTCTGGAGTGCTGGGATTACAGGCCTATGCTACTATCCAGCTTGTAGCTTCTTTTGTACTATTTTTCTCTGATTTGATATCAGAATTAAACTAGCTTTTATAAGATGAATCTCTTCTGTTTTTTAGAAGAGATTTGTATAATTGGTATTTTTCATGTTTGATAAAATTCTCCAGTGAAATCATCTGGATTTAGATTTCTTTTCATGACTTTTTACATTCAATATACTTAATATTAACAGCATTGTTTATGTAATGTATTTAATATGGATGGTTTGTAATAGTTTGTGTTTTTGGGAGTTTTGGCCCATTTCATGGAAATACTCAAGTGTACATTTGAAGAGTTACTTGTAGCATTCCTTTATCACTTTTTGATGTCTCTGCTATCTGCAGAGACAGACTTTGTTTCAGTCCTGCACTGGTATTCTTTCTCTCTCTTTTGCTTTGTCAGTTTTGCTAGAGATTTGTCAATTTTAATGACTTTTTTCAAAGAATTAGCTCTTTGTTTCATTGATTTTTTAATGCCTTTTTATTTTCAATTTAATTCATATCTGTTTTTACTTTTATTATTGCTTTCTTTTGCTTGCCTTGGGATTATTTTGTTATTTTCTTGAGTTCTTGAAGTAGCAACCTATTATTGATTTAAAACTTTTCCTGATTTCCTGTGCGTGCATTTACTGCTATAAATTTCCATCTGAGCAGTATCTTGTGTCCCTCACGATGATGTCTCCTTTTTCTCTTCATTCTTTTGATGCTTTTTGAGAATGGCGTGAATTACGTTGTGCAGTAAGAGGCTTCATCACGTACCATGCACGCCTCGATTACCCTTTCTTATTCCCTCCTCCCACTTTCCCCTTTCCCTCCTCCTCCCACCCCCCGTGAGTCCCCCTCTTACTTTCATGACCTCGGTTGCTTTTTGATTTCCCCAAGTTTCTACAAATGAGAGAAAACATGGGAGGCTTGTCATTGTGGGACTGGCTTACTTCACTTCCCATGCGCATCAGTTTAACAGGTCCCTGTAGGTGTACTCTGCGACCCACAAATTTAGATGTCCACTTGACCTTCCTTCCATATCCTTGAGTCCTACATGCGTAGTTCAACCAACTGTTAATGGAAGATAGTTTTGAAGATTGTGTCTGTACCAATTATGGACCTGTTTTTGTCATCACTGCCTAAACCACACGGTATAATGTCTATTTTCATAGCATTTACAATGTTTTAGGGATAAATAATCTAGAGATGTTTTAAAATAAACAGGAGTGTACATATAGATGATCTGCAAATTCTATGCCATGTTACATAGACTCCTGGAGCATCTTTGGGTTTTGTTTGCTGGTCGTTTTGGAACCAATCCCCCATTCATACTGATTGAGGGAACACTGTTTCATTTCCAAACAACTGGAGAATTTCTTTCAGATACAGTAACTTTTTAACTTCCATGTTAGAAACAATGACACTAAGCCGTGAGAGATTAATCTAGAAGTCATACTAATTTTGTCTGTTTTATGTGTATATACATTTAGGTTCTTTGACATAATAATATGATACTTACTAGAGAAATGTAGGGATTTATACATGTATGTATAGACACGTGCACAATTGAATGGTGTACCTGTGGACTCTCTTTTGTAGAATCTTATTTTACATGGTCCAGAAATACAGTTTTAGACCACTGTTACTGTCTCAGAATGCAGAGTTGGAAGAAATTTGAATGTACAGTTATCATTTAAACAATGGTTAAGATTCTAAAATGTTTTTACTAAGAAAGGTAGACAATAAAATTTGCTTTAAAGAACAATGTTAAGATGGATTTTTTTACTGGAGGAGTGGCTTAAATGGTAAGACCACCTGCCTTGCAAGCGTAAGGCCCTGAGTTCAAACCCCAGTGCTGCCCAAAAAAAAAAGATGGGTTTCCTCTTTGTAATGTTGTTTTTAAGCTGAATAACCAACAGAATTGTGGTTCTTACCAGTTTGCCCAGGCTAATATCTCAAAAACATATTTCATATTTTTTTACAGATTGAAACTGTCAAAGAAGAATTTGCTGAACATTTAGAAGTGGTAGACAAGATAAACCAGATCTGTAAAAATCTACAATTTCACCTGAATAAAATGAAAACCTTTGAAGAGCCCCCTTTTGAAAAAGAGGCCAATGTTATTGTGGACAGATGGCTTGATGTATGTGGTGATTTAATTGACTGCAAATTCTGTTTTAAAGCAGTTAAATTGGTGCTTCTGCAGTGTGTTTTTAGTGTTCTTATATAAGTGAAAAACTAAACTATATTCATTATAAAAATGGACAAATAAAGTTTATAATTTAAGTAATTACCTTCACTGCAGAGTTAGACAGTATTAACAAATGAATCTGTAATCTACCAAGTACAAAAATATACACTTATTTAAAATAAATTAGTATATTATTCACTCATGTAGGAGATTCATGTTCAACTTTATAGGTGATACATTTTTGGTTGAGCACTAATGATAGTTTATAAATTACAAACTAAGAATTTATCTGTATTATATTTTAATCTGAGGTTTTTTTGTGAAAGTGATAGTGAAGTTTATTAGACAAGGAATATACTTTGAGTAGACTGAAAGTGCGTCCTCTCTAGGGTGACAATGACAATATTATAGTAAAGTTTATTGGAATAGAGACACTTTCAGGGGTGAAAGTGGGTCATCTCAGAAAGAGATAGTGAGGATGGCCTCATCTGAGTTTTTAAAACCATAAATTGTAGTTTAGAATTAGGAAGACTGCATGCATCATTCACACAGTAGGTAGCCGGTCATTCTCACAGAATTTAGGAAGGCTACTGCTTTTAAGTGCATATATACTATAACAAGTCTGCCCAGATTTTGTTGCTTGGAAAAAGAGCTACATGATACTTTAAGTACTTTTTTGTTGAGAAATAAAGCAAATTATTTAGCTAGTAATGGCAAATTCAAATTGAATTTTAAAGCAAGCATTTGAGCAAAGCAATGTTTTTCATACTTGTTACCACAGCATGCATGTATTACTTCCGTTTTTAAATTATGGTAGATAAATGAGAAGACAGAAGACTACTATGAAAATCTTGGTCGAGCTCTGGCTTTGTGGGACAAACTTTTTAACTTGAAAAACATCATTGATGAATGGACTGAAAAGACCCTGCAAAAAATGGAATCCCATGAACTGACTGAAGATGACAGAGAAAGACTGAAGGTGAGTCCACAGAGATAAAGTAGACGCTCTGCTTGTCCACACCTGACACTGCAATATTGCGTTTGCTTTCTTGGAGCAGGATAGAAGAATCACAAAAGAAATATTTTCTTCCTTTCATTATCACTTGAATGGGATCCAAACTCTGCACATCCCTTTGAGAGGTCTAGGAAGGTGTTTGTGGGTTCTATTAATCTGGGGTTCATAGCACCCATGAGGCTTCCTGGGTAATATGACCTTGGATGGGGGAAGATTACATCATTCAGTTCATAGATGTCAAAATAAAATTTAGTATTTAATTATGAATACAGGTGCTACACACCAATATAATGTGGGACTTTGTTATCACGGAAATCACAGCTCTTTTTGGATTGTTATTCAGTTGTTACAGCTGTTGTTCACTGCTTTGAAAGTAGTTGGCTCACTGCTATCTCTTGTAATTTAAGTTATTAATAGAAAAACATGAAATAATACATACTACAAATTGTTTTTAATATTTTTGGTAACTACAATCCAATGTAATTCTTTCCCTTCCTAATCCTCTTTAATTTTGTTTATGTTTTATTTTTCAAATATTATGTGAAGGGGCCATAGATTTCACCAGATTGCCAAAGGGTAGGTGTTGTTGAAAATGGGTCAGAACTCCCAGCAGAAGCCCAAACAAAATGCGTAATTCTTCACAGGGAGTTGGTCTAGCCCCAGGGGTGGGCAGGGCAGAGTCTTTTCTTAAAGAGCATGTCATCAACATATTTTAGGCCTGGATCGTTCTGTGTCATGTCTGCTTAGTCCTGCTGTTGTAGCATGAAAACACTGCACAGAAATCCTTGGGAGCAGCTGGGTTCCAATAAAACTTTGCTTATGGGAACAGGCTGTCTGGGGGTGTAGTTCAGTGGTAGAGTGCATGCTTAGAGTTCACGAGGTCCTGGGTTCAATTCCCATCACAAAAAACCCAAAAACCAAACAAAAGACAGCAATAGAAAATGAAGACAAGCTACTAGCCCTCAGAAGATAGCCTGTTATTCCCTGACCTGGGTCATGAATATGGACAACCTTGTTCTCTACTTGAATTAAACAACCCTTTGAAAAGGTTATTAAAAAAATCACAAGGTTTAATGTCAATGGTTTTATAGAGCTCCAAAAAAAAAAACTAGTTTTTTTAAACAGTAATCTTAAGTTTTAGTGTTTGGAAAGAACCAAATTTCTTTTGATGCCAGAAAGAATTCTTTCTGAGACTGGAGGTGTAGCTCAGTGATTGAGCCCTTGCCTGGTAGGCTCAAGGCCCTGAGTTTAATCGTGGCACCCTACAAAAATAAAGATTTGTATCTTCTTTGTTTATATATTATTAGTTTGCACAGTATGAAATCTCACTTGCCAAGTCAGAAAACACTTTAATATGGTGGGAT